GGGGAGGGGAGGGAGGGTTTTGGAGAGGGGGGCATTTATATTGTAAAACTTTTATAAAACTTTTAATTAAAAAAAAAAAAAGATGGGCCTTGTCACCATGAGTCAGATGGTCTTACCCACTTAGTATCATGATGCATCAGCTAAGACCAGGGGTCTTCAAACTTGGCAACTTTAAGACTTATGGACTAATAATATCTATAAACATACATGAAGCTTCATTTCTTATAGCTTAAATTTCCAGGTGATGTTTAAGGACAACGTTATATATTTCCTGCCCTCTTATTCCTACATTTTTGAGTTTCTGGATATTTGGCCATTCTCCTCTAGTCCTCAAGATTGGAAAGCAGCTGCTTGATATTCACCCCATAGTTCTATCAGGCCTAAACCCCACAGCTTCCCATCTCCCACATTTCATACCTTACGACGCCTTACCTTGCAATTTTCACAGCATAATTCATTACTGCACAAGGCTCCCCGCTGAAACGTGCAACTGCTAGTACAACATTTACTCCTTTTACAATGCTGAAAACAAAAACATTAAACATTATGGCTGAAATATTAGCTAGTTCTCTACCATGTGGGAGATCTCATCTTGCCTGTCTCAATTTATCTGGGCTGCAGAAAGATTGTATTGAAAGGAACATTTAATTTTTACTAAGGGTCTCCGGAGATACGAAGGATGAGACATTAAATGTGTTTATGTTGGAGTCAACATCTAATCCAGCTTTCTTTTTTGGGAGGGGGAACCTACTATACAGCCATATTCCTTAACCCTATGAGCATTGCACAGTTCACTGCAAGTGGTATCACGATTGTAGCTAATAAATTTTAAAATTCCCAGGCAGAGAGGCACGAAGGAAGAAGTTAGGGGATGAACACAAATTTAATGGTGAATTTTTTCAAAGCATCTCTAGCTAGGCGAGAATTATCCTACCTTAATGATTTTATGCTCCCTTCTGACAAACATCAGGAGCCCCTACATATTTAAATCAACACATCTGAAGACGGTTGTCAAATACCCACCTCAACACTGCCACAATCGCATTTCTCACCAGGTTCCAAAACACCATTCCCACAAGCCGGTTTCCCTTTGGACAATTTCTTCTGAGAGTACAATTTCAAATTTGGCCGATTAGAAAGGCAAGGGGCGCTTTTGAACTTAATGAAATTTTGGAAGTCCACAACGCTGCAGCTGCTGAATTTTTTAATTCCACTGAAATTACTGGGGGGAAAAAAAAAACAAAGGCAAAAGAATACGTATGACATTAGCATCTAGCCATCTCTCTTTCCAATATATACGTGTCATGACTATACAATCACGTCACAAACTTTTGGGCACAGAAGAAAACTTAAAAAGAGCACGTACTTCCCTTCCAGTGAGGCCCATTGCTATGTTTCTTTATCATCAGATGCGCAGAGGTTTCTCCTACTTGAGGAGAACCACCAAATGGGAACCTAACAAAGATTTCATGTAGAGGTAAAGGCAGTCCTCAACTTACGGCAATTGACCCCAATATTTCTGCGGCTAAGCCAGACAGTCGTTAAGTGAATTTTGCCCCATTTTACGACCTTTCTTGCCACAGTTGTTAATTTTGAGCCCTTAGGAACAATTATGAGCACTTTCCAGCTTAGTCGCCTTTGAAGAATCCATAAAAAGGGGGAAGTTTCTCATTTTGGATTATTGAAAACATCGCTAAATGCATGCCCATCAGCCTCCACCTTAACCGCCAAGCATCTGAACTTGGCAGGTGAACAGCCTGTGATCGAGTCTCAACATACACACAGCCCAGTGAAGCCCCTTCAGCAATATCCATCACAGGGCTTCTTATCTCTGTTCCAGCTATGAACGACAGAAATGAATAATAGCAATACTTGCACTGCATTTGTGTGCATTACACAGATGTGACCGGGGCACTTGCAGTCTTTGCTGTCCTCGTATTCCATCCCCAGGCTGAAACCCAACAGCTGAGCCAGAATGACTGAAAAAGTCTCCAAAGTTAT